CTGTGCACAAAACATATGGGTGGTCTTCTAAAAAAGTTAAAGTACAAACAAAAGAGGAACAATAGGGGGTCCCCAGTTGCAGGCAAATACACACTTGTGGGTGTGTGTGTGTGGGGGGGGGTTGGCCAAGGATATGGGGACCCATAGGCTGAAATTGTCCTGGGGGACCCATTGGACTGAGATGTGAGGATGTCTTGTGGTACTGTGCTGTTCTCAGTGATTTCGATGGCTCTTCTGATGCAGCGCAGGTACCAGTGTTTGATGCTGTTGAGGAGTTCAGCTTTGTTTCAGTTGATCTTGCGTGGAGTGTACAAGATCCCCTGCAAATGTTGCAAACTGTACATCAGCGAGACCGGCATGGACCTCCCTGCCAGATTTAACACAAAGCCCATGACAGAAAGGGGAATACGTCAAGTCTGCCGTCATCAAGCACTCTCACATCGAAGACCGCTTGGTCGACTGGAGCAAAGCTGAACTCCTCACCAGCATCAAGCACTGGTACCTGCCCCGCATCAGAGAAGCTATCGAAATCACCAAGAACAACACAGTACCACTAGACTTCGGTTTCCACATCAGCGACATCTGGTGTCCCATCCTTATATCTCAGTCCAACAGGTCCCCTATACCCTTGGCTACCTTCCCCCTCATTCCCCTCCCTCAGACTGACACGCCTCACTGGTTTGCCGGCACCCCAGTGACCTCAGTTGGGTCCCGAGTTAGCATCCTTTCAGCACCTTAGTGCTGCCTCATCACTGACGACAGACAGAGCCTACAGTCCGAAACTTTGAATATCACCGGTTCTTTACAGAACCCCACATGCTCAATAAAAGATATATTCATGGCGCTACTACAAACCTGTCAAGTTTACTTGTTTTAACAATATTTTTAGAGTTTCTTTTTCGATTTTCTGATATTATTTGAAACGACTTCAGTTTTTCATTTGTAATTTTGACATACATGGTTTTGAAAATTTCAGATTGCCTTATTTGAAAAGTAGTTGTTTATGAATTGTTCATTTAGTTGTGTCGTTTTGTATGGAAGGAGTCACATTTCTATGCGTGATGTCATTGTAGGAACTAAGTTTTAAGTGGGTTTTCTCACTAATTGTATCTTGGTAAAAAGACCTGTATTTTCCACAGTTTTCTTTTGTGCAAGATTTCCATAGTTCAATTGTAAAACCCATGCATGCGTCCCGGTTTGCAGCTCGCAGCCCCGTGTTTTCTCACTTGTCGGCTGCTCTGACTGGTCTGAGCACAGTCCGGGCGTTCAGGGCCGAGCGGCGTTTCACCGCAGAGTTCGACGGGTACCTGGACGGCCACACCCGGGCCTGGTTCCTCTTCCTGGCCACATCTCACTGGTTTGGAGTGCAGCTGGATTTCTTTAGCACCTTGTTCATTTGTGGAGTTAGCTTCACAAGCGTCATGGCTGCTGGCCGTAAGTTTCAAACGAACGCCCTATATACAATTCTTGGCTTTTGCTAGGCCTTTTTACAGCTTTATTGCTGACTTGGCCTTCAATTTTGACGACCACCCTTGAGTTTGTATCTCATTTTTTGGAGCCAAATTTCTAAGGGAATCTCACTAAAACACCGCTAGGCCAGATTTCGTGTTTGAATACAAGGGCAAATCTCTAATGTTCAATTATTTTGATGCCTTTGCTTAGTTCTTAATCTGAACTCTGGCATTGTCGGCCTGTCGCTGACGTACGCCATCAGCCTCATGGGGGCGTTCCAGTGGGCGGTTCGACAGTGGGCGGAGTTAGAAAATCAGGTAAGTGTATATCTGTATGAATTTCTGCTGATTTTCTAGTAGGCTGAGAGTCTATACTTAACGGAAATAGTTTTAAAAGAGACAGCGTATTTATGGCAACACCACCGTCAACTTCTGTACACTCAGATGACATCTGTGGAGCGTGTGTGTCAATACATCGATATCAAGCCTGAGGCTCCATTGGAGACCGACCATAAACCGCCTCCTGACTGGCCACGAGATGGATGCATCACGCTTCAAGATACCTCCCTCAGATACACCGATGACGGGCCTCGGGTGCTGCAAAACATCAGCTGCTCCATCAAGCCGAAGGAAAAGGTATGGCTGCAGAAAATAAAGTCCAATATCGCAAATATCAGGTTAAGGGGCTGTTTTTGCCAAATAACCAGTAATTTGTATTTTGGCTTTCAGGTCGGCATCGTGGGCAGGACTGGGGCAGGCAAAAGCTCCCTCATGACGGTGTTGATGCGACTGGCCGAACCCACGGGCGCCATCATGATAGACGGTATCAACACGACTCTGATAGGGCTGCACGACCTCCGCAAGAAGGTCTCCTTCATCCCACAGGTAAAGGTTTTCTTGGATTCCCCTTTCAAAATTTGCAAATTCGGAAATGCAATGATCCGGAGAGTTGCACAGTCCTGAGCCTAGATATACTCTCAAACCTTCCTCGTGAAACATATGCTAGTAAAATGAAGTAAGCTTAGCTGCGTGTACTTTCCTTTCACTTTATGAACATCGCATGCCATCGTTATTGGTCATGGAATAGTTGATAACTTCGATACTGTTGATTTCTCATTTCCTTAGGATCCAGTCCTGTTCAGCGGAACACTGCGGAAGAACCTGGATCCATTGAATGAGCACGTTGATTGTGATATATGGAGAGCCATTGAAGAGGTGTGTTGTGCGTGAAATAGTTGGGTAAAGTTAGTCTGTCTTCTTAATAATGTAGACATGAACTGTGTTATCCAGCATTTGTGCACTGCAGGTATTGATTGATTCAAAGTTCGAAGGCAGGATGGAACGTAATTCAAGTTGGACCATTCCTCCATGGTTTGACTCACAAACTTGAAGAGGTGTTGCGTCTGAGCATGCCCATCTCGAATTTATGAGGTATATATGATCGGTGATCAGATATAAGGAAAATCTTTCAGTTGTGAATCAAGATAAACTCTTAGGTCCTGACGTCGCAAAAACCTAGCACCGACATTTCCCAATGTCATAGTCCTGCATACGCTGCCACAGTAACGATAACAATGCCACATCGATCACGAAGCTTGTTTCCTTGCATACCCACACACACAAAATCATCAACAGGTGGAGTTGAAGCCGGCAGTGGAAAAACTTCCCGACAAGCTAGAGGCAGTCCTGACAGAGGGAGGCACCAACTTCAGTGTGGGTCAGAGACAGCTGCTGTGCCTGGCCAGGGCCATCCTACGTCAGAACAAGATCCTGATAGTGGACGAAGCCACGGCCAACGTGGACGTCAGGTGAGCGTGTTTGTTTCGCCTTTGTGCTGTGACAGAGGTCAGCGTTGCGACTAATAACATATGAACATATCCGAGCTCGTGTGATGTCTGGTGATATTCCTCGAATAAGCACACCATTTTGAAACACGTAACTGGTTCATTGGTTGGTTACGATACAGTGTCCCTGTTCATTTTCATATGGACTTCTTAAAGCCTCATAAGAGAATAAACTTAACCATTTAATCATTTCATGTTTACGATAGAAAATATCAAAATAATTGCATTGTGGTGATTCTTAAAGCTCTGTGCTTTGACTGTTGTTACCTCTATTATTCAAATGCAGAACTGACCAGTTGATTCAAGTGACTATCCGACAGAGATTCAAGCACTGCACGGTCCTGACCATAGCTCACCGCCTCAACACCATCATGGACTCCGACAAGGTCATGGTATGAGTCAAATGTTACATGAATTGGACTTGTAGGGGGAATTTCTGAAATAAATGGATCAAAAGCATTCTTATCAAGCCATATGTTGGGCTCAAGTTTGTGCAAGAGGTGTAAAATACACTTACATGCCATAAATTTCACTACATCAACCACGTCCTCAACTGTCATAAAATAACACAGCTATCATCAGAGCAAAAATTAATTGCATCCAAAAGAAGAGAGAAGAAAAGAAAAGAAAAACAGTGTACCGTAAAGGGGAGGAATATTTTCATGCAAAGCACGTTAAACTGTACTATTATTTTAATAAAATCCTTCCAGGTGTTGTATTGAGCTGTTCCAATCTATTATGAAGCTTGTCCAAGGTCATTCGGGAACAGTCATATAGTGCGCACGCACGAGGTCTGCTCTATCGGCGCTGCCATGCCTCTCCACGCTTGGATACCTTGTTCTCGAATGACCTTGCTTTGCTGAGAAACCAACCTTGTTCATTCCCGTCGATAATAGCTGAACCCCCCCCCCCCGCCAGGTACTTGACGCTGGGCGGCTGATCGAGTTCGAGGAGCCTTACGTTCTGCTCAAGAAGGAAGACAGTGCCTTCACCAGGATGGTCCAGGAGACAGGGAAGGCTGAGACGGCCAAACTCCTCCAGATCGCCGCTGACAAGCACTTGGAGAAAGCTGCCCACGACCGTGAGGACGTCAATGCATCGGTGTGTCATTAATATGGAAAAAAACTGGATGGCCCAGTTTGACGATAATCATTCACAAGTTAGATGCGGCAAATCACGCATAATTGAAATTGTACCCATTTACTGACCGACGGATACCGTAAGATATGTTGTTCTGACTGAGTCGAATGTGTATTAAAACACCTTGTCCTATTTATTACTGAGCGCCAGCAGTCTTTTATGTGTGCATTTAAAAAAAAAGTAATACTTTTATCAATGCATTTTGTTATGCATTGCCAATTTTTCTGAGAGTGTTCCTCATTAAAGGTTTCGCTTGAACTTTCGTAAGCGTTCTTTGCCCAAGGGAAATTTGGCTGATCAGAATCAGTCAGTTGTGAAATGAATAAATCTCTTCCCAGTATTTTATGAACAACAAAAGGAAAAACGCTCTTGTGTTTGTGTATTTTGTTAAAGTTTTTTAGAGGAACATTGACATCTATAACCCTCGGGGCAGCCATGCCCCAAAACGAAAGGTGTTGTCACCACATGGAGATTCTCATCACTGGTCAGTTCCCGGTCATGCTTAAACCTGTACGACTGTTTCATGGTAGCTTATGCGTCTCTCAAGTCCCTTCAAACTATATTTTACCATGCTGCTGTGGAAGTATAAGTAATACCAGGTCACAACCCAAACAGCCGTGACCAACCACCAAAAGGAGCAGCCAGCCTCCAAAATCACACCATTACTCCATGAAGTAATTTTTGTCTCCAGGTCAGTTTCCGAACCTGTACAACCTTTGCGACTGTTTTATGGAAGCTAATACATCCCCCAGGTCTCCTCTAACTACATTTCATTATGCTACTGTGGAAGTAACACCAGGTCACAACTCGAACAGCCGCGACTAGTCAGCACATGCCTATAAACAGATCCAGTTCCTGATAGGGACCATGGGCTCCTTGAGGTGACTGATCTTTCAAGAATTTTAACTCGGCAGTGGTTGGGGTCTGGCCAATGGGTTTACAGGCTTGTGGTGTATGCCTGGGGTGAGGATTAAAAATAAATCTCTGCCAGGTTGACCCATTGCGAAAAACGTCATGACCATATTTGGTAATATCTGTCGATTTCCGACCTCAAGTATTAAATGTTAAAATCACTATTCTGGATTTATGAAGTGCCACGTTTGGTGAACTTAATCAGGATATTGAAAAGACTTTGATGCGACGTTTTGGTGACACAAAACAGTATCCATTGGTTTGAATCATACTAATATCTTGCAGGCAGATTTCAGATGTTGTTACAACTTTAAACTTAAAGACTAACAAACCACCAACCACACTGTAATGGAGAACCACCATGGGGCCACACCCGCTAGTTAAGAAAACAAACTCATGAAAATAATTCAACCAAACACAGGCAAATTTTGGTCCCAGGAAAAAGTATTGAAAAAAATGAACAATTTTCTCTTAATTTTCCGAAAAAGGTGAGATTGACCAGGCTAGTTCCCCATGTCACTCGACAACACAGGAATTAAACGTAAGGAAACAAAAAAATGCAAACTTACAGGATGAAGTAGAAGGAAAACGCTGACAGACTACATACAGCTTCACTTTAGCAAATACCAAGATGGACCGCCGCCTGCCGAGCTACAGAGATGCGTCTCAGCCAGTGTTCTGTAAAAATGCTTTGCCCAGTCACATGGGCCTTATATACCGTCCTAGCAGACAATCAGTGGATTGCTAAAAGCAGACCATTGTACCTTTATCAATAGACATGGCCAACCGGGCCCCCAAAGTATACCAGGCAAGATATGGGACGAAGGGGTACCCCCTTACCTGTCCAATCCCTAGACACACTTTAGACTATTGCTACCTAACACATCCCCCTAGAAGTTAAAAGAATTCCTGAGATTCCGATCAAACAATGACCAACACAAAGGCGGGGGGCGGGGGGAGGTCTCCCTGTCCCATATCTTGCTTCAAATGCCCCTAAGGAACGTTCCGTGACAATGAACATACCAACAGGTGGGCGCAATACTGTGTCTTGACCCACTACCCAGAGACCTTTTTGTCACGACGTTAGTCCATGAGATCTACGAAGCAAGGTATGAGCCGGAGAGTACCCCACTACTTTGTGCTGGTTATTATTTCACTGGAATCCGAGGAATTCTTTTCAGACATTTAGGGGATGTGTTTGGTAACAATAGTCTACAGTGTGTATAGCGATTGGAAATGTTGGGGTTACCCCTCGGTCTCATTTCTTGCTGGATATAGGCTAGCACGAGGATTGCTGTTAAGGCAAACCCTATTTAACTTCATTACAAGTTTAGGAACGTTTGGAGGTATTTGGACTTCTTCAGATGAGGTGAAAGAGGGGTTCATTTAGAGTATATTTCTGCTGTTCTGAAATTCTTCCAGGGATTTTGAAATTTCAGTTTGATATCTTATAAATTTAGAAAAACCAGTTGTGGGATGGAAACCACGTCATCTCAATGAAGGTTGCTAAAGTTCATGGGGGGGCATCAGATTCCACCCAAATAATAGTATCAATTGTCTTTTAAAAGAGGTCACATTATATATTTATACACATTCATAAATTATGTTGTTGTAAACAGCGTTTTTGTTTAATGAATGGCTTTCTGAATCTGTATAATCACCTCCAACATGGTACATCTGCAGGATGCCTGAAGGTTTAGAAAGTTGCCAACTTGTGAGGGGTATTGCACCGACTTGTTTCGCCTTAGTTCTTATAAACGACAGTGTTCTTTACGGTGGTTGATCTCTGCCAGGAATACCCTTTATTATTTTTAACGCCCTGATAATGGAGTTATAACGCCCTATTACGGCGTTAACAACGCTCTACGGCGTCCACGCACACACGTGGCTCCGCTTAATATGAGCATAGTATTTGCAGTTACTGTGGCAATCCTTGGACGGTTCGAATCTTGCAAGAAGGTAAGTGATAAAAGCCCCTTTGTCTGCAGGAAGCAGAGCGTTATTACGCTGCAATTGGTCGTTATAACAACGTCATAATAGGGCCCTGTAACCCGTAAAAGGGCGTTTATTACACCTGAAATTAAGGCGTTATAACGCCGTAAAATTAAAAAAGTGTATTCATGGCGGATGCCAGCCACCGTAGTTTTTGTGTGATCACGGAGATAGTTTTTTTCGCAATGTTCAATGTGTAAAGAGATCTACGTGCTCTGTCACTGTAGTTCCTCGTGGATGACGTTTGCCCTGTATTGCGTATGCAACAGGAAAGTGTAGCCGCCATTGCAGTCAGGACTGCCCGTAGATAGATGGTTTCGCTAATATTTCAGTGATTATCTGGGGATCGTTCGTGTGTTTATGTGCATTGCTGTTTATGGGTATTGCTTTGTTGTACCACTGGAACCTTTGTATTGCTTTTGCGGATCATTTGCAAAGTTTCCACTCAACTGCGAGTACAAACCGGAACCTTTTGCAGTTGAAGGATTGAAGAATGCTGCGTACGTGTGGTACTTAAGTGCAGCCTTTTGGGTAAGCCGAAACGATTACGGTTGTTATTCCTTTTATTATATAAATTAACATTTGGTGTTATATTTTAAAATAACTGATACGAACACATGTATTAATCTGCCTTGCAGGGATTCAGTTTTATTATCTTCCTTGGGGTGTATTTTGTTATGTCTGTGCAGTCAAGGGATCAATAAAAGTAGGGTTTGGAAAAAGCCAGTTTCTGTCTCTACTGGTTACTGGGACTGTCTCCAACCAAATGCAGGCCGCGCGCATGCTGGACACCCCTGGGCACCTCCCCACTTGCCACTACATTAATTTCGACAGTGAACCACAACTTTGTTAGTGAAAGTTTAAACGTAGGCAGACACCGTGTGATTTAATAAGAGCTTCGTATTTCTAAGAGATAAAATATATTTTAAGAATAAAATGCATTTCAAAGGGGATTTTGTTTTACAATTAGCAGTACAACTACAGCAATCGTTTTTGTTGTTAGCCTGCCTAACGTTGCAAAATAGGAAGCTTTTTCTTGATACCTAAGCCATTTGGAAAAAATGATTAAATACACAATTAAATATCTTCCTCTGAGCATGTAATAAACGCTTAATACCTTAGGAAGTTTAAACAAAACCTTTAATTAGGAAGCAGGCGCTTCCAGACCAGTTGGCAAAATATACCGAAAATTCCATCCTCATAAATTGCGGGCACTAAAAGGGAGCTGATTTTTAATCAATGCACATTCTACTTAGTCGTTCGAAACAACAGTATATTTACACAGCAATACCCAGTCAACGGACGGATGAAATTCCCAACCAGTGTAATGAACAGCATGACTTTTTCGCATATCTTTCCAACACTTGAAAAGTTGAATTTTTATTTCTTGTCACTTGGGGCCAACCGACGTTTTCCGTGTTACAGACATACCGGTATATCAGCGTCTTCCGGGTCGTGGACAGCTTTCTCCGCATGCATGTCAGCACTGATCTGGAGGAGTTTGACCGTCTCAGCCTTCCCTGTCTCTTGGACCATCCTGGTGAAGGCACTGTCCTCCTTCTGGAGCAGAATGTAAGGCTCGTCAAACTCGATCAGACACCCTTCGTCAAGTACCTGGAAAGGGACAAGATTCAGCTATGGCCAGCACGAATGAACCAGTTTGATATTTCAAACGGGGCAAGGTCTTTCGGGAACAAACCACACGTGCAAGTCGGGGGCAGCTTCGCTCATGACGGCGAAGACCTAATGCGTGCGCATGGCTGTTCCAGAATGACATCGGAGGTGCTTCATTTTGCGCATGCACTGCTGGAATACAACGCTTCAGTGCAACGACAGATAAGAGGTGAGGTGAGATGGATGCTGTGGTGTATTGTGCTTCATTATCGCACGTATACACTTTACATGCAGTGTGTGGATTCAGATGTGGCCTACCTCCTACTCAGGGATTACAACGGCGCACCTTCCATTGAAAGCCTCTTACCATGACCTTGTCGGAGTCCATGATGGTGTTGAGGCGGTGAGCTATGGTCAGGACCGTGCAGTGCTTGAATCGCTGTCGGATAGTCTCCTGGATCAACCGGTCCGTTCTATATTAAAATTACCCAACAGATGTAAACAACAGTCACAACACCCAGTTTAAGCACTACAAACCGACCATTTTCAGACTGATGACTCTTTTTGTATGGCATTTGGACGTGGGAAAGGTCACCAGTACGATTTAAGGTAACATCTTAATAGCAGTTTCTCTTTGGACAATTGAACGAGTCCGTAAAAAGAACTACATCATAGCTAAAACAACCAGTTCCAAGTCCGTAAAAAGAACTACTTCAAAGCTAAAACAACCAGTTCCATTTTTAAAAGTCAAGGTCATTCGAGAAAGAGCATTCATCGATCAGTTCGAGCATGTTTAGTGTGTGTACGTGTCGGCGATACTGTACGTCGTGCAGTAGGTCAATGACAATGACCTACGACAGGCTTAACCTCGAGGTGTTAGGAGACGTAACCCTGACATTAGTTTTAATATGAATGACAAACAAACAACGCTCACCTGATGTCCACGTTGGCCGTGGCTTCGTCCACTATCAGGATCTTGTTCTGACGTAGGATGGCCCTGGCCAGGCACAGCAGCTGTCTCTGACCCACGCTGAAGTTGGTGCCTCCCTCTGTCAGGACTGCCTCCAGCTTGTCAGGAAGCTCTTCCACAGCTGGCTTTAACTCCACCTGTCGAAATATTTTTTGTTTCTTGGAATGTCAGAAAACAGGCTTTATGAGAATTGTGTGGAATTGGGAAGGGCTATCTTGAATCAGGAATGTTGCACAATCGAGACACCCGATTTTCTTGACACAGCTTTATTGTCAGGTATCTAACAGCTATCTTCACCACACGTTTCGTACTCAACACACCTCTTCAATGGCTCTCCATATATCACAATCAGCGTGCTCATCGAACGGATCGAGGTTCTTCCGCAGTGTTCCGCTAAACAGGATTGGATCCTGTTAATTTAAAAGCAAAAGAATATAGACATTATTTTTATTACAACCGGGTGAAAATAATTTCCCCTCACCACACTCTTAACAAATATCCATTCCTATTGGTCGAGAGCCTGGCATCTGGCCCGTCTAATAATGCGATTGGGAAAGCATTTACTCGCAGCGGCTCAAACCAAAACATGGCTTGGTTGGTTTGAAACTTGGTTGGTTTGTTAGTACAAACTCCCCGGGAATGTTCTAATATTTATGAACAGTAAATGTTAGAAACGGGGTAGTTGAGTCCATTATGCCGAAAGCCGTCTTGGATGTTAAGGACCAACAGAGCGCAATTTTGAGGCCTACATTCTGTTTCAAAAAGTAGAGGGCAATAAAACTGCAGGCCAGCGCTTGTTGGCTTAATATTGCTGAGATTTCTTCTTCAACTGGCCTGATTATAACCCATTACAATAGCCTGACGAAAGACTATTCGCCCACTGCTAGCTCGATGGTGGCAATCGAGTACAAGGCCAAGACTTTAAGTATTATGCAATGTAGCGGGTAGGTGTTCCTAATTTAGGTAAAGGCTTTTTGCGCAAAGTTACAGTTCGCTTATAAACTGGACCATTCACCTGTGGGATGAAGGAAACCTTCTTGCGGAGGTCGTGCAGCCCAATCAGGGCCGTGTTGATACCGTCTATCATGATGGTGCCCGTGGGTTCGGCCAGTCGCATCAACACTGTCATCAGGGAGCTCTTGCCAGCCCCGGTCCTGCCCACGATGCCGACCTGAAAGCCACAACGATCGTTACTGGTCGTTTTGATCATCAAGGTGGAAGGGTTATACGCTGAGCTCGATAAGTTTGACCTCAATTCAACCCGATATACATAACAGTTTCAACCAATGTTTCTTGCACAATGCAGGTCTTGGACCTTGCATCAATCAGTCGTGCTTTTTTGTGTATGGACATCTAATTCACTGACGTGTCGTTCAGATTAAATTAAAGAAATTTAACATTTCTTCAATTTTCTTAACAATCCCTTGTCCACAAACAGTCCCACAGAAACTTCTGAGAATCGACTTTTTTCATACGAACTGAATTTTTCTTACAGGATACAGAGTAAGATTTTCCTTTTGACACTGTGAGGGTTGTTCCCCAAAAGGTGGAAATCCTGACATCGGATTTTGTCTCTCTGTATTAACCATACCTTTTCTTTCGGCTTGATGGAGCAGCAGATATTTTGCAGCACCTGAGGCCCGTCATCGGTGTATCTGAGGGATGTATCCCGGAGTGTAATACCTCCCTCTTGTGGCCAGTCAGGAGGCGGCTTATGGTCGGTCTCCAAGGGAGCCTCGGGCTTTATGTCAATGTACTGACAGACGCGCTCCACAGATGTCATCTGAGTGCACAAAAGTTTAGGGTGGCATTGCCATGAACTAAATTGTTAAAATGCGACAACCCTGGCACAGATTTACGGTCAAGCTCAAATTTCGGCAGAAACCGTTTCACTCGGGTACACTTACCTGGTTTTCCAACTCGGCACTCTGTCGAACTGCCCACTGGAACATCCCCATCAGGCTGATGGCGTAAGTCAACGACAGGCCGACAATGCCAGAGTTCAGACCAAGAACTGAGCGAAGAAACAGAGTTTGCGGTCACATTTGCAATTCTGCAGTACACTGAGCGATTAAGCTCGGTTCTACTGTAGACCCAAATGAGTAAGATCGTTTAATTAAAACCAATCAGGCAATTATTATGCACTACAATGTCGTAAGGGAAAATCTATAGCCAAATTGGAACATTATAACGACGAACACCAAACATATGACAACTCAAAATTCAAGCAACGTCCACGTTGTGAGTTGTAACGACTTTCACATGTAGATACGGTACAGTTGGTGAGGTTCAGTTGCACCATCCACTTTTAATACGCATCATAACATCTGCTGGCTTTTGCAATTACATGTATTGTCTCTTTGACGCAGCAACAGTAAGCAACACACAAATGCTAAAGTGTATTATGAGAAATGAGGACATGCAGATGAATATGTGAGGATGGCCATCAAAATACGAGCGATTCACAACAGCGCGCCTCCAAGAGTTTGCAATGCGTTGACCAATCACAATGCACGAAATTTACAGACCCAATGCGTGTTTAGAAAGGGTCGACAGATTTCACACACTGTGATTGGCCAAGCATTGCAAACTCTTGGAGGCGTACTATTGTGAATCACCCCTATTAAAGACCGAGTCCTCAGTAAAGATGTCTCTGATGACAGGCATATTAGTTTTATCTGTGGTGCGGTCGCCTTAAGCTTACGGCCAGCAGCCATGATACTGGTGAAGCAAACTCCGCAGATGAACAAGCTGCTGAAGAAATCTAGCTGCACTCCAAACCAGCGGGACGTGGCCAGGAAGAGGAACCAGGCCCGGGTGTGGCCGTCCAGGTACCCGTCGAAGTCCGCGATGAAGCGCCGCTGGGCCTTGAACGCCCGGACAGTGCTTAGACCAACCAGAGTGGCCGACAGGTGAGAAAACACTGGGCTGCGAGCTGCAAAAAGGGACACCGGGTAAGACAAAATCTGTTATCTGAACATGTATTTATTGTATGGACTATACATATATCAGCGTATCTTAGTGCAGTAAAAGAGATCCAACTAAGTCTTAAACTTGCAAAGTTGAAATCTTGAATAATAGTAAACGGTGGCAAATACCATCGTCCTTTACCACATGAAATTATAGTGAAAACACCTGATCCATAACTATGCCTGTGATAGTATTAATGAATTCAAAAGTAGCGCCAACCACATGTAAGTACAGTCTTCCATAAGTAACAAGTGACTAATTCTTTTGTACCATCTTAGTCCCTCAAGGGTAACATGAAAAATGTTACAAATGGCAAACGCAGGTGTCAAATTATATAACGTGCAAAACTGGGTAAAGAACACATGCCAACGTCCTTCAAATCAACAGTATTTGCTGCCAATGTCACTTTACTCATGACACAGGTTTGTGACCTAACCAGTAGCATTAACTGACATACCTACTCCTTCTAGCCTCTTGACGTCTCGAGAGGAGGCTAAGTAGTACCTCCTTGTCAGGAAAAACACAATGGCAATCGGGAAGGTGAAGGCGAGGCAAAAAGGATTGTAGATGGAAATCAAGATGATTATGGCGACGGTAGTCAAGGTGATCTAAAAAAAGTTTGAGCAGTCATAATTATTTGTAAGGAATGGTCACAAAGAAAGCAACAAACAATCGACAACAAGTCCATTCGTTTCATAATAATGGTGTATATAGAAGTTTTAGATTTTGTCAAGTTTCCTAACAACGCCTTTCAAATTAAACAGTCTATATTCGGACGTTCACTCGTAGTGCTTTACCAATTCCGTTGACTCTAAGAGAACATTACCTGCAGAAATTCTGTGAATGTTCCTGGCAAGACATCGTCCATGAAGCCGATATCCTTGGCAAAGCGATTCAGAATCCGACCTGAAATCGAACATTATAAAATCAATGCCCCAGTCCAATTTGCCCGTGCTATCTCTGCAGGACTCATGAAATACGAATCATATTATTTATGAAAATCTCTCATGATCCGCTGAACAGAGCATCCAGAGTCGATAACACATATCACATGATTAACAAATCCGCTGTCTGGAATTGACCAAGGGAGATTTACCAAAAGCACCGAGATTGGCCAAAAGAAGGCTCAAAGCCAATATCTTCCTACAGGCAACTACTTCCAATGCAAGGAAGTTTGCCAAGTCACTACAGGCGGCAACTATTTCATTGAAGTCACACCACACGAACTCTTAAACACAGTCGATTACGTCTTACCTACTGGATTTGTGTCAAAGAACTGCATGGGGGCTCTGACGATGGAGGCAAACATTTGGTTGTGAAGAGCCCGGGAAGCCGTCACGAACAGATGGAAGAACAGAAAGCTACGGACAAACAAGAGAAGCGTGGATCCTCCACACAACATGGCGTAAATTCTGACGTAATGTGACTGGTTGTCGTATTTGCTGGCATTCTGACAATCCTGTAGCAATGCAAAACAGATGGGACAGACTGAAAATTAAAGGGACATAAATACATTTAAAAATGTCAAAGGTCATTTTTCTTATATGTAATCTGGACTATGAGCATCAGCTGACCTGATTTCTGGCTGCCAAATCCTTCTCTTCCTCGTAAGCCCACGTTGCCAGCCAGAGGTCCGTGAAAGTCAGAGCAGCCTGAGTCGGAAAGCAAAGCAAAATATGAGCACCGTGCATTATTCAGTACAGATGACAATAATAAGCACGATTTCACTAGCTACCGTCTACACAAGGTCCCTTTACTACGGAGGTACTTTTACCTGTGCACCGACCACGATGATCACCCAGGCGAGCAGAAAGAGGAATCCCGCTGCTGCCCGGAAGTACCGGAAGTACACCATCCACTCAACGGTCCCTAACGCCATTTCCTCCGGGGGAATGTCCAAGGGTGCCTCAGCCTACGAGAGCGACCAGCCGAGCAGGGAGAGTGAAGAAGAAGTGGGAAGGATGGGGACAGGAAAACGAAAATAAAAGAAATGGATGCAAACACATGGCCAAACTAGCAAAGCCTTCAATTAATACCATTCACCTCATTTTACATATAGACGCATGATGTTATTTTTTTTTGAATTTGGGTTAACAATACACCAACCTCATCTTTGGCTGGACAAAACGAAGCACTGGAGCTCGTTGACATTTTCCTTTTGCGCGTCTTCGGTTCGAGGACCTGCTCCTTTTCTCCAGCGTCGTCACCGTCCTTGGACTTCTTCTTAAGGAGGGCAGCAAAGTCCACGCCTTCCTTTTGTAACTCTTGGTAGGTCCCATAGCCGGCTGTACTACCCTGTCAAATTATGGAACATGACCAATTATTACAAGGGTAATTACGCAACCCCTTTGCTCTCGAGATAAGTAAGTTGCACTAAAATGTCTCTGTAACCAAACAATTCTCCTTGTGAAGTCAATCTCAGGTTATCAGCAGACTGTAACTATACAAACCTTGGGCAAAATTGTCAAACTCTCTAACTATATGAAAATGACTGAGTGTTTCTTAATCTGGGAAAAGCGCACAAGAATTGTGAGATTTAGTTTTCAACGGCTTTTATGTCAGAATAACCTGCTTCAGGATGAGAATCTTATCGGCCTCGTCCAGGAACTGCAACTGATGAGTTACCAGGATCCGCCCCTTGTCATTCATTTCATGAAGGATGCACCTTTGAAACATAAATTATTTTGACTCTTCAATGAATGGGTAACTTTTAATCTCCATAGATTAGAGCAAACTCAGGTTAATACCGTGCTTAAGAGTTTTTGTTGGTATTTTGTGGGAGTCTTCACTGTCAAAAAGTGCAATTCCGACATCTGTCAGAAATCGCCCAGAACAAGAGTGAAAATAAATAAAATAAATCCATCAGTAAGAGTATCATCATCGCTCTACTGGTCAAAAACGTATAATAAGCAAGAACAGATTAGATTCCTTCTATTAATAATAGGGTTTCAAACCCATCTTCGTTGAAATGAGTCATGTTAGAATGTCAAAAAAATAATGACATGAAAAGAAAACCAATTCCACGAGAAATCGATATGGCTGACCTTTCAAAGAGGTGCCTACCGACTGCCGGATCCACTGCGCTCAGCGGATCATCCAACAGATACACATCAGCATCAATATACAAGGCCCTAGCAAGGCTGACCCTTGCCCGCTGACCTCCGCTGAGGGTCACCCCACGCTCTCCCACAAATGTCTGATCCCCACGAGGTAGAAGCTCGATATCCTGTGGATAAAAGGTTACCTCAAATCCCTGGAGTTATATGCACGTTTGAGCAAACATTGAAGCAAACATTCGAGTTTCAACTTGGTAAATTTTCCTTGATCACAGAACAATATTGAGCCAGGAAAAGGAGGACGATGAATTATTTTTCAGTGTCAAATACAGTAATAACGTCTTCCTTTTGTCAAATACAAGTGCTATTCCAACATGATTAATCCGTGTTGGGAGAAAATTTGAGCTCTAGTCAATTTTTTACACCTCTTGCTCCGTTGATTTAAACGCTCTTGATTTCTTTAGCCAAATTCTTTTGTGCAATGCCAAATTTTGCATTCCATTCAACAAATGATTCGGGATATATAGAGTACAGCTTAAGACAATCCCCGGATTTTCAAAAATGACCTCATATTCTCCTAGGACTTACCTTGGTGAGCGCACATTGCTGAATGACTCGCTTGTACTTGGCCGCATCGTATTCATTCCCAAAGAGGATGTTATCCCTGAGTGAGCCGGACAGGATCCAGGGTTGCTGAGCCGTGTAGCCAACCCGGCCGGTTAGGGCGTTGACTCCTGATACAGTGGGAAGCTCCCCCAGCAGGGCCATCAACAGGGAAGACTGGCACGGGAGAATAAACGAAGCAGACGTCATGGTAACGATTTTACCCTTACCTGATCTTTTAAACATTATTTACAGTGGATGCCAATTATAAGGTCCATTGCACGTCCTATACTAGTGCTGCCGTATAGGTATCAAGGGTGGTGTATACATTTTCCTACGATATAAAGAGTGTTACGCTATACAGTGCCGTGAAGATACTAAGGCCGATTGATGTCCACTATCGAATAGTGCTGTATGTATTGTAAAAATATCAAAGCTGGTAAAAGGGTCTATTTGGGCTACATCTTTCTTAAACAAAGAGCGCCTTTAGGTCCACAGGTACTAATAAGCACTGTTATTGCTATAGGTTAAGCGATTTCCGATTATTTTTGTCCTGGGCTAAAGGTGTTCAAATGCTTCCATTTACTGCTGTATCTAACTCATGGATAAAACAGGATTTTGGTCCTACATTTCTCCTATATCTATTTCTTGTGTTGACACCAAAAATTCCTCAAAAGCGCCTCAGGCACTGACGCTCGTAAGGCTTAATAAATCTGCAGAGACAATGAGAAGCAGTTACAGTTTTAGAGGTGGGAGCAAAACCCCAGGGGAATATTTTGGGTAAAACCCATGGAATCAGGTAGGGACTGAAAACCCAATCAACATGTGGACCGAACCGGCATTTGAACCGCAGAGGTGGAAGGCGAGGGAAGAATCACTACGCCAACCCGACTTCCCAATAATATCTAATATCTAGCTTAGCAAAGCGTGTTTAAATAACCCCAGTTTTCATTACTCACCTTTCCACACCCAACAGGACCGATCACAGCGAGAAGTTCTCCCGGCTCAACGCGAAAACTGATGTCATGAAGGACTGTGTTGCTAACACCCTTAGTTTAATAACATAATATTCAAAAGAAGGTTACATCTCTACATAAAGCCACAATATAAACAGTCGTGTGATCCCTGCCTTCAAACTTGAATGTGTACGCCTAAAACTGAGCAAAATGATGTTACCAAAGGAGTATTGGGCGATCTATAAACACAATCGAACTTGCATCTTGACAACTGGTTTGTGGTGAAGCATAAACTAATTACTCGTCGCAGGAGTAATTGAACGTGAAGAGGTACAGCAAAGAAGTCTCGTTCGATTTTTTTGTGATGGCTTATGATAGGTAGGATGGGTTAGATATTGTGAAACTCGGTACCTTGTTCCATGATCCAAACAAGTTTTTCACAACAATTCCTTTCTCGACTTCTGGATCAAGGGACAGTACAGGCTTGTCTAAATCGTCTTGTTCCTCAATCTCAGCAGGCCTAACGATAACTCCAACCTCCTCATCTCCCTCGGATTGTATTACACAGTTCGTGTATTTTGACTGTACTTCTTTTTCCAAATGCTGTGAGGCGTCCGTGCCATCGTGGTCGCTCTCATTATGAACTTCCCTCGGAGCAACAACACCGTTTGTACTTATCTCGTCCAACAGAACCGCGGGATTTTCCAGTCCAACATTGGCAGTTACATCCACAGTGGCCTTGTCGGTGTGTCTCTCAAGCTCTTCCATGAGCAGAAATTTCTGGTTATGAAATGGTTTGCGATTACTTTCAAGATACATGTATCTAGACTTAATTGATGACTGAATATTAACTGTTCTGTTTGTGATCTTGTGTGCAAATTTTTACAAACAAAAGACACTGAAAGCCTTTTAAGGACGTTGATGTTTTTGGATATGCTGCATTGTGACCTATGGCCATCCACCTCATCCCCATGCAGGCTTCTAATCTTTGTCCTCACCTGAATCCTACGGATGGAGACAAGTCCCTCCGCCCCGTTCATGACAGCGAATGGAAAGAATAAAGACAGGCAAACTCGCGAGTTGTAGATCAGCGAGATCACTGGAAACACCTTGGAGGGCGTGACGGGGTTGCCAAGCGAGGCATAGACCACAAACGTGACGAATGTCGTCAGTAGGATAGCATCGAACTGCAGCCCATAAATCAGCGCGCGTAAATATGAACCATACAATATCTTGCGTATCTCCTTGCTGCGGACCAAAACAGCACGAGAATAAGAAATTGCTAAATCTTACAAGGTTGTCTTGTGGCAAAATAGAAAAATAATACACATTAAGGAGTTGGTGTGAGTTCTCAACGTTTGGACCAGGAATCAATTGCGTGTATAGTCTCCAGGAATATCCCCTGCTCTTATGTGTAACTACTGCTATCGTGCATGTCCCATCTTTCTCCCCCTTCTGTTCAAACTTTTTCACAGAGCTTCAACGGGCTTCTGTAGACACGCCAATACGGAACTCTACTGGATAATGTCCGCGACTAAATAAAAAAAAATCACTGGTTCGAAATTAGAATTCTTGCTTCTTTAAAAAAGTACCAGTCTGCTTTGACAATCAACCTACCCTCGGCTTTCAGCAACTAGTTTTCCGAAAGATTGTTCCCAGGCGTAGATCTTGATGACGCGCATCCCCGAGATGACTTCATTCATGATACGGAGTCTGGCATCTGACAACAGGGCCGTCTTGGATCTTTGAAGAGGGGAGGGAAAAACAGGCTAAGAATAGGGTTAAGGGAAAACACACCGAATAGACGCAAATATTTAGAATCATACGAGAATCTCTTGACAAAATGAGTCCTTATACCTTAACTTGGAAAACAGCTTCCCAGCGTAACCCTGCAGTGGCGCCATCAAGATCATGATGGAGAGCCCCGCCAGGCACGAAACACCGATCTCTCGCCAGCATAAGATGCACACCACGATCAGCTGGATTGGTGCTATCCACAGGTAATGCAAGAGCACAAAGGCCTGAAAAAAGATGCATTGAACGTTCCAAGAATGCCTTGGATGATCATGAGAAGCCAAGGCACTATGGGAAAAAATTCTCAAACTGTCCATAGCTAAAGAATAACAGTAAGGAACGAAAAAAAAAACCAAACAACAGTAAAAGCGAGTCACAACAGTTTTCAACATTTTGAGGCAAGGGAACTGTGTCCAGTTCACAGGCATAATTTGCCACGTTCTGTGGAAAAGGTGTTGTTCAACAGATTAGAGGTTTTTAAAATCCAAAACTTGCTCTAGCGGGACTGGAACCTGTACGACACTGTTCAGTACTGTGCCGATACTTTACCACTGAGCTGACAGCGGTTGGCTATCTGACCAGCTGGGGCTGTAGGAGACGACAACTGATGAAGGCTTCACCAAGATCCGTTTGGTAGAGCCAGGTCCAGGGCTTTGTCCCATTATAAAATTGTAGAGACAAGAAGCTGACGGGAGCTAAGAAGCATGTCCTGGTCCCATACTTACCAGATCGAATCTGTTAACGTCATTGGAGAGGATATTCACCAGCTGACCGATTGTGGTCTCTCTTAGAGCGAGGTTGCTGAGCTTCAGTGCCTTCGATAAATTAAACGTGACAATTACGGTGCAACAGTGGCGATATCGTGTATATGATTTCACGTTACGCTCAGTCGGCGCATCTGTATTTGAACAACCGGGAGCAAAGAAGGGTAAAACCCATTACCTTCCTGAAGATGAGGGCCGAACAGGCAATTCTGAGTCTCATTCCCATGCGTCCAAAGCCGAAGAAGCACCAGTGGTGGGCGACGACAAGACCTAGGGAGGACAAGGAGAGACCGGCTGCTTGCAGGTAGGCCTCAGTGGTTGATACGAGGTCCGTGGAGAAGTAAAGAACCAATCGTGCTAGCATCAACGGCTGGGCCATCTTCAAAATGACCTCCTACAAATAATGTCCATGATCGGAATAACAACGTTATCAGATGATGCAGCACTTGAATCCATTTCGAATTATGCACTGTGTGAATGAAATCAATAGTGGATATCCATATAAAAACCCATTGCTTAGCAAAATACTGACTCAGAGATTGTTTCGTAATCCTGAACACTACAAGAGCATGCCATAAGTGAAGAATTACTATCTAAGATTTGGCAATAGTTACCTCAACGAAAGCTGGCAAACCGTATGACATGAACTTCACGCCAAAGGCTCTAATCAACGCCCAGCGGAGGGACGGAGGCCTCCCCGTGACATTACTTTTCTCCAGTTCCTTATTCCATTCACTGGCAAAGAATAAAGCAAATCAGTGGCTATTGAAGAGCCAAATGGCCTTAGACACTGCCACACAGAAATGTTCATAAAGTGAACCCTATACTTACTGGGGGAATATTTTTGTTGGAAGAGAGTGTAGAATGTAGGAAAATAAGATTTTATAGATGAAACTGGTTAACTGCAGTGACAAAAGCCGGACAGATTTTCACTTCAGAGAGTGCGTGGACTTCATATAAAACAAGCCGGAGCAAACTTGATCAAGGACCACTAATTAACCAGTGGTGGGTTTTTGAAGTACCAAGCGCATGTGCAGTGAAAGTTGAAGCGCGAACGATCCTAGTCAATCGTTGTCAGGTCATTAGGCCAAAGGGGAGAAAAGGTAGCCGCAGGAAGGGCAAACTAGCAAAAATTAAAGTGAAAACGGTCATTCACGAGTAGACACCGGTTTTCTGACATTTACCAAATATAGTCCTCTTTTCACTTTGCTATTAAAAACAGTTTACGGCAAACAACGATGCGACACTATGGCATTCTGATTCTGCATGAATTTGATACATACACATTATAGATGTGCATTTTTATCATGAGCACCGCCCCCTGTACATGTATATACATGTATATAGAGTATATGGTGTGCCCCCCCTTTCAAATTGGCATGGTCAGGCAAGTCAACCCCCACCTCCCGCCCCCCCCATTCCAAGGATTCAACTCATTCGGTGTCTAGTATGATGATATTTTTGATATTTTTATGATATTTTTGATCATTCATAGTAAGCCGGCGGCCATGTGTTTCCATACCTAGTTGTTGCTCTAAGCCCGTTGAGAGGATGGAGTCAGAGTTATGTATTATCGGGTTTACTACAGGGAGCAATAAAACACGGACAAGCCGCGGTACGAATTTCTGAGGTTCAAGTAGAGAGATTTGGGTCAGTACACATGATATAAGTTTTACGTTGGTAAACAAAATTTACTGTAAATATAAAGAGCAATGCCATAAACAATAGAGGGTTGCATTTATACAAATTATAAAAAGTGGAATAATCATTCAGGGATATATTTGGATTTAAACATGGGGATATTATTCAAGAACAATAAAAGAAATGCCCCAAATATCAATGCAATCTACTCGTGAACAATGGAGACAAACAAATAAATTCTTCCCTTCCATCGCTCTGGACTAAACGAACGCTCTGAAACTGTGTGAGATTCCACAGGTGATAGACTGGTTTACCTTTCGAGTTTACTCACTAACACATTCGCAGAGTCTTCTGGCAAAACATCATACAAGTCTTCCTCTACGAGAGGTCTCTCAGACCCTCGACGGAAGAAGCCGAACATCCAGCTGAAAAGTAACAATCGAGAATTATGTTAATATTTTGAGCTGCAGTGCCTTGAGCGCTTTCGAGGTGTCATTACCAGAAATAAATGATAATAATCATGATTATTACTCTTATCATTTTTCGAGGAGCTTGATTTGGATTTTAGTGACTCAAATGATAATCACTGATCTTGATGGTTTCTTTTCATGGATATACATCGAAATGTTCAACAGTAAGGAGTAATTTCGTTTGGACAATAGTAACATTGGAATATCGATTCACATCACAGTTTAAAAGTTCGATCAATTCAGCTGTTTGTCCGCTTCTTGAAATTGTCCATGGATTGCCCTTTGTTTTCGGGTATAAGGTTGTATATATAGAGTGACCTGTTTAGATTGTGATCAGGGCAATCTGTTTGATATTTTACCATTATATAAAAGTTTGCGTAAAATTAAATATGTGAAAGGTATAGAGGGGTTTGCAAGTTCCCACTAGAGATGTGACTAACCCTTGCAGTTGATTGAAATTTGGAAGCGACTCCGAAAAAGAGAAGTAGACATGAATGATCTGTTAATAACAAACATAACTGGCCAGACCGGTGCTTCAACCCAGAACTTCAATTTGTGATTAACAAGATTTCTATTGTTTATCACCTATAAGAGCAATCCACAAATCAATTTCAAAGCCTATACGATAAATGGTTCTCGAGTCATCAGCTGAACAGAATTTTCCAGACATGTATACACACACGCCACACCCGTGCCGGTAAGAGTCGGCAATACTAATAGTACGTATGCCCCTTGACATGGTCGGGGGGGGGCTAATATGGGTTTTGGAAAGAGTTCCGTATCCGGACATCGCTTGACACACTGTGCACAAACCCTATGACACTGGTCTGAAATGTCACAGTGTTTTCTTAGTATATGTTTCAATATTTTTCATTGCTAAAGTTGACTTCTTAGGACATCATTTTCTGATGGTTAATAAACCAGCGGAAAGGAAAATTATTGATGTCTGTTCATGTATATGGAAATCTTTCCCGGGAGCTTTCCCTCTGCTTCACCAAACAACTGTGCGTCTCAGTCACTTTGACAGCGTGGTATGTGTCACCCTCTCCAAACAGTCATGCGATTCCTGTATTGTAATGCCCGGTTCTGAGAGAATTTTTGTCTGCCATAGAATGTCACAATGTTAAGGCCAAGCAGTGAAAACATCGTAGAATTTCCTGATAAAAAATACTTAAAATCTTCAGGCAAATCTCATAAGGCTTGGGCACAGGATGTCTTTTAATGTCCGCGTAGGAAGCTCTTTCCTATTCCATAGTTTTCTTTTCTCCAAGGTTGAACTATAGGCCTAACCACTGACTAATCATGGATAGCTAGGCCTACGCGTAGTAGGTCGAGAATCACGTGCACAAGCTATTTCAATCCAACTTACATGAAAAATACTTTGGAGAAGATTCCTGCTCTCAACAGCGGATGTGGTGGTCTTCCGCTTTGGCAAGATGCCCTACGAGTACGAGGCTCAGTGACCCCGTAGTCTTGAGAACTATTGTGGCTGCCCGTTGAAACACTATTGTCTTGGGCCGCCATGAGTCTTGGGTGTGTGGCTGCGGTGCTCCAGTACCATATAAATGAATCATGGATCATGTATGGTCACGTGTGTGTCCTCCCTCCACTTAGTTCTTATTGTTCAGGACTTAACACTGAACGCCAGCCAGCTTTTGTGATGGAAACGACGTGTGACGTAATTCTTATGTTACTCAGTCGTCTAACGCAACAGTAGCCTTTTTCGAGCAGCGGAACTCTTAATTTTCTCTGTTCCTGAAAAAAAAACACACACACACTAGTATCGGACAGTCGTAGGAGACGAGACCGAAGCGCGGCTCGTCTGTCAGTGTTATGCTCCACGCCCTTACAATCCTGCGTACGTGTGCTAACTCAGTGGACACGCCGGCAGCGCTGGGTAAACATACTATTTCTAGGGCCCTACAGCCAAATATGTCCGCCATACGTTCATTGCCCACTTGCCACGTTGACTTGCGCATGCATTGCACACGTGAGGTCGGTCAGGCACTTTCTTCGATCGGCTGGGATGTTCATAATTGTGATATGGCCATGCTTTGTTGATCATGCAGCACACTTCAAAAGCGCCGACCTGCTGCTCAAGGCAACCAACAAACGGTGACAGTCAAGAGGTCCTGGTCACTGATTTTTAGCTGTTAATTATCCTTTCCAGTAAACTGACCAGGCACTGGTACTTTGGAAATTCTGTAACGGGGCGTGGACTATCGTTTCCTCTAGAACTATGCAGTGTACCTGCCAGTGCTTCAGGCGAAGGTGTGTTCCAAGTACATACTCCAGAAGTTTTTACTTCTGGCATCAACCACTTCGTTTTGGCTTGGAAACTGTATGGAGAAGAGTGTTTAGACAGTTGCCGACTGGTGAGTGGAGTGGTATTGCTGTGACTTGTCTCGCCTTAACCGACAGTGTTCTCCCGCGATGTTCAATGTGTGCGGAGATCTATTTGTGCGCGTCACGTCACCGTACTACTACTAGTAGTTTCTCAAGGATGACCTTTGACCTATCCAGCAAGAAAAAGTGTAGTCACCGCTACAGTCGCAGTGCGCGATGTCAGTGGCCCAAAGATATGGTACAGTGAGTATTAAGGGATCGTTCATGTATTTATACATGGCGTGTTGTTTAATTGTATCACTACAATATTTGTATTGCTTTGGCAGATCATTTCTGAGGTCTCCAATCAGCTGCATGTACAACCTTGAACATTCCGCCGTTGAACTTGGAGGACTGAAGAATTCTGGGTAAGGCCTATACCAAGTTGAAGTGGTGCCTGTTAGGTAAGCCCAAACGGTTGCAGTTGTTATTCTGTTTGTTATAAAAATTATGCATTAATGTGTGTAATAAGTTTATAATGATTGAAACACAACACTTCTATGTGTCTGCTTCGCAGGGGCTCCGTTTAATTATCTGTCTTGCTTGGAGTGCATGGATCTCGTTTTCCGAGTGGTCAAGGGATAAATAAAAATAGAATTTGGAAGAAAAAGCCAGAGTTCTGACTCTACTGGTTCCAGGCCTGTCTTCCACCACCTGCTCTCCGCGCACATGCCAGGGCACCCAACCGCGTGCCATCACATTAATTTTGACACTGAACGACAATTAACTTTATGCAGACATGAAAGCTTCGTATATGTATAAGATAATTATTATTTTAAAGATAAATGAACTTTAAAGGCGATTTTAATTTAACAGTCTGTTCTATCACTATTCAAAAGCAGTACTCCTCAAGCAAATGTTTTGTTGTTAGTCTGCCCAGTGTTGCAAAATAAGAAACTTTTTCCTGCTACCTCAACCATTTGGGAAAAAAATAATAACCTAATAAACATCTTCCTATGAGCATGAAGAAAACGCTTGATACAATGCAAAATTTAAACAAAACCCTCAATTAGAAACGGGGTGCTCCCCGGACAGTTTGCAAAGCATACCAAAAATCCACTCACCAAAAAACATCGACATTGAAAGAGAGCCGGCTTTTAAATTACGCACTTAGGCCTACAACTCTGTCGTACCAAGAAACATCTTTTACAGCAATCCACGGACAGTGAAAGAATGACACTTCCCACCAGTATGACGAGAGGCATTAACTTATTGCATATCTTTTCAACACTTCAAAAGCTTGAAATCATTTGTTATCACTTAGGCCGATCGATTCTTTTTCCATGCTAAGAGACCGGTATATCAGATGTGTCTTCCGGGTCGTGGGCAACTTTCTCTGCATGCTTGTCAGCTGCAATCTGTAGGAGTTTGGCCATCTCAGCCTTGCCCGTCTCTTGGACCATTCTGGTGAAGGCACTGTCCTCCTGGAGCAGAGTGTAAGGCTCGTCAAACTCGATCAGACGCCCCGCATCAAGTACCTGGAAAGGGACAAGATTCAGCTGTGACTGGTACGAATAAGCCAGTTTGATATTTCGAAAGGGGCAAGGTCATTCGGGATCAGACCACACCTGTTCCCGATTGGCCTCTGAGCTGCTTCGTTTTGCACGTACGCTGCTGGAATACCACACTTCAGTACAACACCTTAAGCAGTCGAGGAGTTGGGGTAAGATGGATGTCATGGTGTATTGTGCTTCATTATTGCACGTTATTATACTCAACATGCAGTGTATGGACTCAAAATGTGACTATATGTGTAAAGGAGAGTTCCATTCGGGGATTACAACGGTGCACCTTCCATTGAAAGCCTCTTACCATGACCTTGTCGGAGTCCATGATGGTGTTGAGGCGGTGAGCTATGGTTAGGACCGTGCAGTGTTTGAATCTCTGTCGGATAGTCGCCTGGATCAACCGGTCAGTTCTATAAATGCAATAGAGGCAACAGCAGTCACAGGAAAGAGCTTAAACACTACGAACCGATTACTTGTTTATTGAGAATGATGACTCTTTTTTGTACGGTAGACGGACTTGATACGGGTCACAATCTCGACTGAAAGCGAAACAAACACGCTCACCTGACGTCCACGTTGGCCGTGGCCTCGTCCACTATCAGGATCTTGTTCTGACGTAAGATGGCCCTGGCCAGGCACAGAAGCTGTCTCTGACCCACACTGAAGTTGGTGCCTCCCTCTGTGAGGACTGCCTCCAGCTTGTCAGGGAGTTCTTCCACCGCTGGCTTCAACTCCACCTGTTGAAAAGTTTCATGTTTGTTTGTTGGGGTGTTGGGGGTATTGGGTTGTTTGTTTGTTGGGTTGTTTGTTTGTTTGTTTGTCTGTTTGTTTGGAATGCCAAGAAACAGGCTTCATGAGTAGTGCAGGATTAGAATCCATACACAAGACTTGTGTGGAAGTGCAGGAACGATATTTTGATTCAGAATTGTTGCAATTATTTGCAAAAACACCTCATTTTTTTGATCCACATTTCTCAGGTTTATTTCCAATTTCCAATCGTCCATCGAAATGATTCAAAGGAGTTGAACTTGATTCGAGAACTATGCCAATCAGTTCATGCTTCATATTTCGAAGTGGGCATACTCAATCACATCGCCTCTTTAAAGTTTTGCAAAAAAATGGCCTAACTGAAAATACGTCCAATTCTGCTTTAAAAGTTTTATTCAAATGCAAGTAGCGCACACCTGTTTGACCATACTGCGATTGTCACGTTTTACGAGAATCGCTATAACAGCTAGCTTCACCCAGTGTTTTGTACTCAACACACCTCTTCAATGGCTTTCCATATATCACAATCAGCGTGGTCATCGAACGGATCCAGGTTCTTCCGCAGTGTTCCGCTAAACAGAATTGGATCCTATTAAAATTAAAAATCAAAAGAATATCAATACAGCAATATGTTCCGACAAACGGGTAAACATAATTACCTATAGTAATCTGTTAACCAGTATTCGTAAATACCCGAGACAGCTAAGCCATTCCTGCTGGCCGAGAGCCTGTAACGTAGCCAGTCTTACAAAAAGATTGAGAAAGTACTGATTTGCGCGGCGGCACAAAACATAACGTGGCTGGAGGGATGTTGGAAATTTGAAGTGCTTAACTTTGTTTAAACTTCAGACTCAAAAGGAATTCACGAATAGGAATATAGAAATGGGATGAACAAGTGAATCGACACAATTAATTATGGAGCCAAAAGCCAGAGCGTTAGTTGCGTCTATTCTGCTGAGCCGGTTTTAAACGTTTCTGACCAGCCTGGCACACATTTCCTCCCTTACTAAAGGCCTATAATCTGTTTCACAAAGTAGATAGAAAGATTTACAGGCTAGTTGACTTCATGCCGCTTATAATGCATAACAATAGCCTGACAATGAAGTGGAGGAAAGACAATACGACCTTTACAAACTCACTGGTGTCCGACCAAGTGCAAGACAATGTACTCTATAAGGGTCCGTGCCCCAGAAAAGATCGAGGCTTTTCGAGCCCAGTTAAACTTGTGCTCATAATATAAACTGGACGTTTTACCTGTGGGATGAAGGAGACCTTCTTGCGAAGGTCGTGCAGCCCGATTAGCGTCGTGTTGACACCGTCTATCATGATGGTGCCCGTGGGTTCGGCCAGTCGCATCAACACCGTCATCAGGGAGCTCTTGCCAGCCCCAGTCCTGCCCACGATGCCCAACTGAAAGCCGAAACGGTCGGTACTGGTCATTTTAATACCAGCTGTAATTTGCTTACCTTGCAAGCTTGATGAGTTTGACCTCAATTCAGCTCGATGTACATGCAATTATAAGCCAATGTTTCAATGACAATGTAGGTTTTTGGACTGTTGTTGGTTTTAGTCACATTACTCCCGTCAGAGTTGTAAAGTGAAATGAAAGGCACACTACGTCTTGAAGGTTGATTCTTCATGTTTTGTCCCCCTCACAGACTTGATGTTAAACTTATCAGAATCGACTTTTTCCCTCTGAACTCAATTCTGATTTCAAGTTACAGGTTTATATTTTCCTTTGACACCAAAAGGGTTGTTATTCCAAAGGTGGCAATCCTGATATCAGACTTTGGTCTATGTAGCCATACCTTTTCTTTTGGCTTGATGGAGCAGCTGATATTTCGCAGCACCTGAGGCCCGTCTTCAGTGTATCTGAGGGAGGTATCTTGGAGTGTGATACCTCCCTCTTGTGGCCAGTCAGGAGGCGGCTTATGGTCGGTCTCCAAGGGAGCCTCAGGCTTGATATCGATGTATTGACACACACGCTCCACAGATGTCATCTGAGTGTACAGAAATGGACGGTGGCATTGCCATTATTATGCAACTAATTTTGTTAAAATGTAACATCCATGTATGGATTTACACTAGCCAAGCACAAAGTTTGGCCAAAATTGATACCGGTAGACTAACCTGGTTTTCTACTTCTGCGCTCTGTCGAACCGCCCACTGAAATGTCCCCGTTAGGCTGATGGCGTACGTCAACGACAGACCAACAATGCCAGAGTTCAGATCAAGGACTGAACAAACAAAACAACAGTGTTTTGACATTAGTGATTATGTGCTACACTGAGTGATTAATCTCGGTTTTACTGTAAAACGAAACGAGCAAGATCTTTATAAAAAATCACCAGTGCACAACATTTTCGCCAAGTGGAGACCCATTGCCAAATTGATACATTTTAACCCTAACACTCCTCAGTCCTCCAACAGGTGAAGGATTGAGGAGGGTTAGGGTTACCGACAAACATGAAACAACTTTCGACTCAAAAATGCCAGAAACGTGCATTCAGTAAAATTATAAAAATGTAACAGATAGATACGGTGAGGAATCCTTGTCCAAATATCTAAATTAAGTACACGCCCATAACAACTGGCGCATTTTGCAATTATTGTTTCTATGACGCGACAGTAAGCAAAAGCAGCAGAAGTGTGCATTTTTTGTAATGCTATCTGGCCAAGTAATGTCTTAATGAAAGTTGTTATGAACTGCAGCTTCAAAGATGACGATGGCCATTAAAATTAAAGACCCAGTCATCAGTAAAGATGTAAAAAATAACGTGTATATTACTTTTCTAATCCATCTGTAGTGCGGTCGCCTTAAACTTACGGCCAGCAGCCAAGATGCTAGTGAAGCAAACACCGCAGATGAACAAGCTGCTAAAGAAATCCAGCTGCACTCCTAACCAGCGGGACGTGGCCAGGAAGAGGAACCAGGCCCGGGTGTGGCCGTCCAGGTACCCGTCGAAGTCCGCGATGAAGCGCTGCTGGGCCTTGAACGCCCGGACAGTGCTTAGACCAGTCAGAGTGGCTGACAGGTGAGAAAACACCGGGCTGCGAGCTGCAAACAGGAACACAAGATAAAACAGTATTTTTTATCTGAAGCTATTAAATAAACGGACTACATTGCAGCGTATCATATCATGCAGTAAAATGGATCCAAACTGAGTCATGCACATAATACTTGCACAGTGAATATGCCATCGCCTTTACCAGATGAAATTAGTGAGAAAAATCAGTTTGTAATGACAGAACGAATGCAAAAGTAGCTCCACGCATGTAAACAAAACAATTTTATAAGCTGTGGGTGAGATGTTCTTATAAAACATCTTCAACAAAAATGAAATCCAAACCCTTCAAGGGTAATGTGAGAAATATCGCAAATGCCAATCAGAAGTCGTCTCAAACTATCTGCAGACCTGCATGAAGAGCACATGCTAACGTCCTTCAAGTCAAAAATATGTTGCTACCAATATCTTCAACTTTACTCCAACGGGTTTGTGATCTTAACTGACGTACCTACTCCTTCTAGCCTCTTGACGTCCCGAGAGGAGGCTAAGTAGTATCTCCTTGTGAGGAAAAACACAACGGCGATCGGGAGGGCGAAGGCGAGGCAGAAAGGGTTGAAGATGGAAATCAAGATGACAGTGGCCAAGGTATTCACCGTGATCTGGACAGGAAGGGTAAAAATAAGCGAAAAATCACAATTTACGGAAAAAAAATCTGATCTCATTATTTTTTGTGCATTCAAAATTATTTGAGGAACTGCCACGAAGAAAGTAAATTCATTTAATGCGCGCTAACTATGTAAAGGCTTGGGATTTCGTCAGGTTTCCCAACAACGCATTTCAAATTAATGTTAACGATTTATATTTTATTATAGTGTTCACTTGTAGTGTTGAATAAGCAATTTGGTTAAGTCTGAAAGAACCTTACCTGCAGAAAGTCTGTGAATGTTTCTGGCAAGACATCGTCCATGAAGCCGATATCCTTGGCAAAGCGATTCAGAATTCGACCTGAAAATAGAACATGAACACATTCAGTGCCCCCGCTCTCCTCTGTAATACAAAAGTGAGAAGAAATTAAAGGATCTCATAGTAAGAAAATGGCCCGTTGAACAGAGCAAGCACAGTCCATACCGCATATAACATCACGTGCGAATAACGTGTCCAAAACTGTCCAATGAACATCTACCAAAATGTCGAATTTGGCCATGAGAAGGCTCTTGGTTATTTTGTCCTGCAGACAACCACTCCTTTTTTTCCCACAGATCACGGGGTAAATACATGGATTGCATTAACTTCACACTACGAGCGCTGTAGCACACAGTCGACTCGTCTTACCCACTGGATTCGTATCAAAGAACTGCATGGGTGCCCTGATTATAGAGGCGAACATTTGGTTGTGAAGAGCCCGTGAGGCCGTCACGAACAGGTGGAAGAACAGAAAGCTACGGACAAGCAAGAGAAGCGTCGATCCTCCACACAACATGGCGTAAATTCTGACGTAATGTGACTGGTTGTCGTATTTGCTGGCATTCTGAAAATTCTGTAGCAATGCAAAACAGATTGGACAGACTGAAAATTAAAGGGACATAAATACAATTTAAAATGTCAAAGGTAATTTTTCTTATTTGTAATCTGGACTATGAGTATCAGCTGACCTGATTTCTGGCTGCCAAATCCTTCTCTTCCTCGTAAGCCCACGTCGCCAGCCAGAGGTCCGTGAAAGTCAGCGCAGCCTGAGTCGGAAAGCAAAGCAAAATATGAAGCAACTTTGTTGATTTGTTGATCACAATGCTGTTTGTCTAAAATGTCTAAACTCAGCGAATGTGCCAGTAAGACAAAGAGCAAGACAAGCCGTCAACCACCACCGTCTCCGTTCAGCTCCGAATCATCAAACATCACCTGCAGTCGGAAACCAACTCCAGTAACGAGGAGTCATTACTCCTGTCACTTGAACTGAACACCCCTGAACCATCCATCAACACGAACATCAAGTCTCCCACCGCCTGTGGGACGCACAATTTCAGCGGGTGAAAGCCCTGGTGTCAAGAGCCAAATAACGCCCCGAACCCGATTTTTGTCCAAGGCCATTGAGACTCCACACTACCAGCTTACATAGAAATCAGGGTATGACCACCGCACCACTTTCTGAAATTCCAGAGCTCTTTTGAGGAACGCTGGAGAAAACGGTAAAGGAAGACACCCCCTCCTATTAACCAAGAGCACGATGGAGGAATACCAGCACCAGCTGGTAACCACAGAGGAGAAACTTACAAGCACAAGATAGGCAGCCTTGCAGAAAATTGCTGAGGAATACAAGGGCCAAGATCACACCACATCTCAACAACTGTTTGGCTTCTTCACCAGATCAAGACAAACGGCAGGAAACGTAAAGAGGAAACACTCATATAAAATCTCTCAACGAAACAAACGGTCTGTTTCAAGACCACCCCATCTTCCAAAAGAGATCGCCAAGCACTGCCATTAGTTTTTTTTTAATCAGGAATATATTTAAATACCTTACAACTGTATTCCTACGTACTTCCCCAGAAGGAAATGGCAATTAGAAGAAAAGCCATAAAGAAACTGAGAGAGAACACAACCAGCGGAAATTAAACCGTTACTCCGTCACATGCAATGCTAAAGCCAAGGAAACCAAATCCAATCGAAAACGTTAAATTAGCAGAACAATATGAATCATTCATAACCATCCCTTCCAAAGCGACATTAACGCAGAGTGAAAAGATCGCTTTCGGAAAAGGTCCCAACCTCATTCCCACTCCTGCTAAACCAAATTACACCACATGTTTAAGCGACATATATAAACGCTTTCAATCGAAAACTGAGAATAGCATTCCTTATGCACACACACACACTAAACACTCCAAAACCCATCTTTTAAACCTCCACCCACTTGGCATCCAAAATCAACCCCTAGTGCAACACTTAAATAAGAAGCCACTAAAATCTCGCCTACATCGGTCTAAACCATCGGCAAAAACATTTCCAACCAAGAACTAGTCGTCTTTACAAAGCTAATAAAAAGCCTAAATATCGTAGTCAAACCTTACGACAAGGGCAGAGGCATTTGCATTTCGAACCTCCAAGACTTATAGCTATCTGAATGTGGGCTACCGCCATCTTGAGTCTCGCCACTGTACACTGAATTGGACCTCACACAAGTGATAGTCTTTTGATTTGAGGAGTTTTATGTTTCATTCAAGCGTCAGGGTGGAGTTGGAATACAAATCTTGCTCGAATGTAGCTTCAAGGATATGAAATAATTGGACTTTCTTTTTAAAATTTTATGAATATCAGTGGACAGGTCCCCTGGCACTCGATATCACTGAAAATCTTATCAGCGAAGTACTTCGTAAATTAAAAGTCCTTGCTCCCCACTGGGCTCTGCTGAGCTGAGTTAAACAGCACTCTGTTTAAGGTTTTGGGACAGCAGCACTAAGCGATGCTTTCGCTGTTTCTCTGGCTTTCATTATAGACAAATGCTCAGACTGTCATGAGCCGGGAATTTGTTTTCAAGCATCATGCATGCAATTCAATAGATGCGATTCATGCATGATGCTGACAATAAGCACCCATTTCTCAAGTGTCACTGGCTCCCACCTTCACTAGGTCCTTTTAGTAAGTGGTATTTTTACCTCTGCACCAACTACGATGATCGCCCAGACGAGTAGAAAGAGGAATCCTGCTGCTGCCCGGAAGAACCGGATATACACCATCCACTCAATGGTACCCACAGCCATCTCCTCCGGAGTGATGTCCACGGGTGTCTCCGCCTGCAACAAGGGCGACACACCAGACAGGGAGGACAAGAGGACAGAGAAGATACAAGCGCATGGATCATATCAAAAGTAGTAAAGACTCTTCAATTAACGTCACTTGTTTTATTTATAAATACACTCAGTAAAAACATATGCATGTACGACGAAACCCTGTGAATTTTCGAATCAGGGTCAGCGATATTTGTCTCTTAAAAACTAGGACACCAACCTGTTCTTGGTTTGGACGAAACAAAGCACTGGAGCGCATTGATGTGTTTCTTTCTCTCTTCCGCCCTTCGAGGACCTGCTCCTTATCTCCGGTGTCGTCACTGTCCTCGGATTTCTTCTTCAAGAGGGCGGCAAAGTCCACGCCTTCCTCCTGCAACTCCTGGTAGGTCCCATAGCCGGCTACGCTGCCCTAATAGATTATGTTACATGCCAAGGAATCATAATTATTTTGACAGCCCATCAGCTCTAAAATTTGCACTTTGTACTTGAACGTCTCTTCAACCAGACAAGTAAAACGGGGCAAATGGCTAAATGTTTCAAATAGTATGAAACTAACTGAATGCTTGTCAGTCCAAAAACTTAATCGAAGTTTTCAACGGCTTTTAATGAAGAATTACCTGTTTCAGGATGAGAATCTTATCGGCCTTGTCTAGGAACTGCAGCTGATGAGTTACTAGGATCCGCACCTTGTCCCTCATTTGATGAAGGATGCACCTTTAGAAAACCACATTCATTATTTGACTGTTAAATGATAAAGGGAGCTTTATACCTCTGCAGATCAGAGTAAAGGTAGATAAATATTGTGCTTAGAAGTTGTTGTAATACAGGTTTTTTCGAATGTGCGAGTCGGCACTATCCAAAACCGATATCTCGCAGAAATTGCCAGCCTCTGTTGTGCTGTGCCGATGTTTAACTAGCAAGAACAAACGTCATATATCGTTTCTGAAGAAGGGTAAAGGGTTTCAAACCACCATCGCAGATGTGAATCATTTTTAGGATTTCAGAATAATGACGTCATATAAAAAGAATCCATGAGAAATTGAGAAAGCTTACCTTTCGAAAAGGTGTCTCCCAACCGCGGGATCAACTGCGCTGAGCGGATCATCCAGCAGATATACATCAGCATCACTGTACAAGGCTCTGGCCAGGCTGACCCTTGCCCTCTGACCTCCACTAAGGGTCACCCCTCGCTCGCCAACCAGCGTCTTATCTCCATGTGATAGCAGTTCAATATCCTGTGGATGCAAGTTTATTGAAGTCCCTGAAGCAAACATGTACATTTGAGCAAACACCGAAGCAAACATTTGAGTTAGAGCTTGGTACATAGATTTTCCTTGATCACATGACCAAATCAAGTCACACAAAAGAGGACGATGGACTGAGCTCAGCACAGCCTTAGAGGATACTGGGATTTTAAAAAAGCCTCTGTCTGCTGCAGACCTACCCTGGTGAGCGCGCATTGCTTGATGACTCGCTTGTACTTGGCAGACTCGTACTCACTCCCAAAGAGGATATTTTGCCGGAGTGACCCGGACACAATCCAGGGTTGCTGAGCCGTGTAGCCAATCCGACCGATCAGAGTGTTGACCCCTGATACGGTCGGAAGCTCTCCCAGCAGGGCCATCAGCAGGGAAGACTGGCAAGGGAAAATAAACCAAGCAGACATAATGAAAATGACAGAAACCTTCACCTGACGTTTTTAACGTATATTAATTATGGATATACCAACTTGGTTTCTTGGTATCTACAAAGGCCCATTGTCCTGTATTGACATAGTGTAGATATCAAGCCCAAGCATTTCCCTGTACTCTAGGGTTTAAGGCTGGTATATGTCCTATAGTGCTGTATACAAGTAGATACACGTTCATCAAAAAGTGTTGAAGGTCTACTGTGCTACACTCTTATGACATACAAATAGAGAGTTTTGATAGGTTCACTGGTCCTAATATACACTTCAGGTGTACATACCAAGGATATTGCATTAACACCAAGCGTTTGACGACAAAATTAATGTTAGGCCTAGTAAGCTCACCTTTCCACACCCAACGGGACCGATCACCGCGAAAAGCTCTCCCTCCTCAACGCGAAAACTGATGTCTTGAAGCACAGTGTTGCTGACATCCTTGTTTGAACAATGTATTCAAAAGAAGATTAAATCTCTACATTATAAAGACGGCTGAATGTGATCAGAATGATGTCACCAAACTGGGATGTGAGAGCGAATGTCGAAAAAAACTTGAAAACAACTGGGAAAAAGCAGAAATCTAAAAAATGAATTCCTATCATTCTGTAGAGAGTTGGAGTACAAACAAGCTGAAAATCGGAGTAAATATCTAACGAAAAATCTAAATGTTGAGAAAATCAGCAAAAATGTTGTGCCAAATAAACCAATTACTTATCGCTGGAGTAATAGGATATGAAGGGGGAGAGAGGAAAGCTTCTGAGGTGGAATGGGTTAGATACACCTTGTTCCAAGATCCATACAAATTCTTCACAACAATTCCTTTCTTGTCTTCTGTGTTCAGGGAAGGTTCGGGCTTGTCAAGATCGTCATCTTCCTCCATCCCAGCAGGCCCAACGTAATCTCCAACCTCCTGATCTCCCTCAGATTGGATCAGATAGTTTTCGCTGCTCGTTCGTGCTTCTTTTTCCAGGCGCTGTGAGGCGTCCGTGACATCTTCCGCGGCGCTCTCACCATTAGCTTTCCTCAAAGCAACGACGCCATTTGCTTTTATCTCGTCCAAGAGAATTGCGGGCTTTTCCGATCCAGCATTGGCAGTAACATCCACAGTGGCCTCATCAGCGTTTCTCTCAAGCTCTTCCATAAGTAGAAATTTCTGGTTATTAAATGTAGAAATAGTTTGCATGCGTTGTAAACACCTAAAGACCATCTGAGTTTAACTAGCGCTAATGTGTTCACATTTTTACAAACAACATTTCAGGCCTTTGAGGATTATTATGTTTATTGGGGGAACCGGGTTTATTCTTGGTTATTTTGGAGAGTGGGTTTGGCAATCCACCTCATTCCTAGGTATGTGATGTTTGTCCTCACCTGAATCCTGTGGATGGAGACGAGTCCCTCCGCCCCGTTCATCACACCCAATGGGAAGAATAAGGACAGGCTGAGTCGAGCGCCGTAAAACAACGAGACTACCGCAAATACCTTAGACGACGTCACGGGGTTGCCAAGCGACGCGTAGACTACGAACGTAACAAATGTCGTCAGTAAGGTAGAATCGAACAGCAGGCCGTCGATCAGTGCGCGTAAATAGGAGCTGTGCAGTATCTTGTGTATCTCCTTGCTGCAGACCAAAAGAGCAAAACGAGCAGAAATCTCTACATCTTCCAATGTCTACCAATGCTCAACTCGCAGCGGCAAGTTCTCAACATATCGAGCAGTAATTAATGATCGTCTTCAGGAAAATTCCTTCTCAAAGTGAAATTACTGCTGTCGTGTATCGTTTCATTTCAGTTTCATTGTTTTCCAAGAGCTTCCATGCGTTTTGTATACTTCCTTTTATTGAACTCTACACTACAATGCCGGAAAGGAAGCTGTCCACTGGTGCAACATAAAATCAAATACTGGTTTAAGGCAATGTACTGTGGCTATACACCTACCTTCGGCTTTCAGCGACTAGTTTTCCAAAGGATGGTTCCCAGGCGTAGATCTTGATGACACGCATCCCTGATATCACTTCATTCATGATGCGGAGTCTGGCATCAGACAACAGGGCCGTCTTGGATCTGACAAGGAGAGAAGGGGGAAAGGGAGAACACTTGTCAAGAGTATAGGCTTCTTAAAGGGGCATAAAGACAAAATGGACGTGTACTTTCAGGAACAGCATGTCTTGACAAAGTGGACCTTACCTCAACTTAGAAAACAGCTTCCCCGCGTAACACTGCAAGGGCGCCATCAAGATCAAGACGGAGAGCCCCGCCAGGCAGGAAACTCCGATCTCTCGCCAACATAGGAGGAACAGCACAATCAGCTGGAACGGTGCTATCCACAAATAATGTGCAAAGTTAAAGGCCTGCCAAATGGAAACAGTATTGGTTCAGAAAACAGGGAAGAAGAAGAGAAAGTTTCAAAAGGCCCAGTTTTTAAAGGACAGCCGCCAAGAACAATAGAAAGGAGCGAATGCGTTTTCAAGCCCGATAAAACAAACATAATGCAAGCATGCCACATTAGCTCTAAACACTTCCAGACGAGGGAAACCGTCAAGTTACCAGGAATAGGTGTCTTTCAAGAGTTAATAAAAACCAAAATCACAAGCCTGCTGAGGCAGGAACTAAACTTATGACACCCCGTTTATTATTGTAGCTATTTTGTCGACTGCTACGGTAGCTGGCCTTAGCCATCCGGTCAGCTGGGGCGGTAGGAGACGGCAACTGATGAAATATTTCTCACACGCTTCATCTAGATCTGTTCAGATATCTTCTCTCCATTTTAAATACGTGGAGAGCTAGGCGGTAGCTTGGGAAGCGTGCCCAGGTCCCATACTTACCATATCGAATCTGTTGACGTCATTGGAGAGGATGTTCACCAGCTGACCAATTGTGGTCTCTCCGAGAGCAATGTTGCTGAGCTTCAGGGCCTTCAATAAAATGAATGTGACAATTACAGGGCTTCAATGGCGAGTCAATGCCTGAGGTTCAATGATATCAAGGTATACTTTGTCGGCGTAACTGTATTTGGACGAACAGGATGGAGGCCATTAGATTATATGAGATGCCGCCTAGAGCTAAGAAAACAAATACCTATTACCTTTCTGAAGACAAGGGCCGAGCAAGCAGTTCTGAGCCTCATCCCCATACGTGCGAAGCCGAAGAAACACCAATGGTGAAAGACGGCAAGACCTAGGGAAGACAAGGAGAGACCGGCGGCTTGCAAGTAGGCCTCCGTGGTTGATACGAGGTCCGTGGAGAAGTAAAGAACCAATCGTGCCAACATCACCGGCTGGGCCATCTTCAAGAAGACCTCCTATATGCAAAATAACCATGACCAGGACAATCACGTTTAGCCCTAAAAAAAAGCCGGGAGCGGATTTCCACTGCCATTATTCTTGCTATATCGCCAATGTGCATTGCTTTCAGGTATTGAGCCTTAAGGAGTTTTAGAGTAAGTCTTTGCAGCCATTTTTACACCAATCTGTGAAAATTCTTGCACAGCGCACATTTCCCGGGACAGATCAACAAAAACGTACCAATGTACTTTTTCTACTGAGGCGCTCCATGCAGACGGACTGGCAAGCATGTAGCCTAACTGCAAATCAAGTAGCATCAAAACTAAACGTCTAATTGAGTTCAAACTTTATATTTGAAGTGATAAGGATGGTCTTTACACAGATGGCAAGTTTCCAAAATTTTTTTATCACGGTAGAGCTGCTTCCTTTGGGATGGGGTGCGGATTTTGCCCCCGGCTGGGAGATCGACCAACATATAAACCTGGCTCTTTTTGGGTTAAATCATGCATGTAACACATCAGGCCACTTCCAGTAACGCATTACTTGAAAGCAATTCGGAGCGAATATTCATATAAAAACAAAGTCTCACAAACAATTAATCTGACAAAAGATTGTCAGTTACGGTACCTGAAAGAAAGCGGGCAAACCATATAACATGAACTTCACACCAAACGCTCTTAATAACGCCCAGCAGAGGGACGGAGGCCTCCCTGTGAAATTACTTTTTTCCAGTTCTTTATTCCATTCCCTAGGAACAAAAGTAAAGCAAATGGGTAGCTTTTAACAATCACATTAGTGATAAGAAGCAACCACAAAAGATATTCATTCAGTAAACCCCATACTTTTTTGGCGGAATACCACTGTGTTGTTAGAAGAGTGTATGGTAAATAATGGTAAATTATATTTATAGACAAAGTGATAAAATGCTTTATGCACGGGGAACACAGCCAGACAGTCGGTTGCATTTACTCGTAGTCGGGCAGACCCTTAACTCTATAGAGCGCATTGACGTCATATTAATCGATCTGTTCTTGAAATGCTCCTATTCAGCCCAAATAGTTCACCAGTGGCCATGTTACATTGCCAAATACAATATACAAAGGCTTGCTCGACATTGTTAATCAAATCGTTCGTTGCAACAGAAGTTACGATGCACACATAATTTATTCTCTATGTATTGTCTTAAATAGAGCAATACCATAAACTACATTCAGTTGTAGGCCTGTTTATACAGACTGTGGAAAGGGGTACAGTCATTGGGGAAATTTGAATGAAAAAATGAAAAATTAATCAACAACAACAATAGGAATACTTAAAATATAAATGCAATATACTTAATATAGCCATTCGGGAAAATCAATACAAATTTGTTAGTTTCATCGCCATGGAGGTAAACAAATGTTCTTACAATTAGTGAAATTGTTTTATACAGTGCTAAATGTACCAGCATAGACCTGCTTACCTTTGGAGTTTACTCACTAACACACTTGCAGACTCTTCCGGCAAAACATCATACAAGTCTTCTTCCACAAGTGGTCTCTTATGTCCTCGACGGAAGAAACCGAACATCCAGCTGAGAAAATAACAAGCAAGAATGATTATTATTACTACTGCTATTATTTTGATCGAAATGTTCACCAATACAGAATAATTTCGTTCGGACAAAAAGTAACATTTGAATTTTTACCAGTAGTACTAAGCAGCAAGTTTCTTTCGTTCACTTCATTAATTCGGTTATTTGTCCTCTTTTTGAAACCATTCGTGCAATGGGGGATACACGGTAGGGCGCCTTCAAGAGTTTGGACCGTGTTGGCCAATCACAATGCGCAATGCGCTTTACACGCCTCCTCTGTGAGCGCCTGAGCTGTATCAACGTATTATGAGTGACCTGCTAGTGAATCTGGATGAAGTTATCTACATTGATGACATTCTCATCACCAGCCGAACACAGGCAGAGCACGATCAACGAGTGCATCATATCATCCAACTGCTACAGAAAGCTGGCCTGCGACTAAACAAGGAAAAATCAATGATTGCTCAAGAAAGAATTACCTCTCATGGTCTACAGCTGGACAAGTATGGAATACAGGCCAATCCCGTGAAAATTGCAGCAATTGTCGAAATGCCCCCACCGACATCAAAGGATGCAGTAACGAGGCTCATGAGCATGGTCAACTGGTTGTCCTGCTTCATTCCGATTGTAGCGTCAGCAACAGCCCCAATCACAGATCTGCTGAAAGACGATGTTGACTGGATGTGGGGAGCTCAAAAAGACTGCATTCCAACAACTAAGGAAACTCCTCACCATATCACCAACACTGGCCTTCAATGATCCTGCTAAGTCTACCATGGTAAGCGCAGATGCCATTAGCTATGGGCTGGGACGACGTTTGCTCCAGCAGCAGGAAGATGACACATGAAAGCCAGTGGCTTACTGTCCCTGTGCCCTGAATCCTACTGAGAGGAAGTATGCCCAAATTGAGAAAGAGTTGTTATCCAGTGTATGGGCATGCGAGAGGTTGTATTTCTACATCAGAGGGCTTCATGCGACACTATCAACTGAAAACAAACCGCTGGTGTCCTTGATAAATTAAAAGAACCTTTGTGAAGCACCCCTGAGATGTCAGCGCTGACTGATGCGCCTCATGAAATTCCAATGTACAGCAGTTTACTCACCAGACAAGACCCAAGCCGGTGCAGATACCCTGTCTAGAGTAAGACCCAAGCCGGTGCAGATACCCTGTCTAGAGCTCCAGTGCATGCAGACTAGACAGCTGATTGCAGTGATGATATCGTAACCAAAGTTGCAGCACATGTGAGCCTGGTAACCAGCCAGTGGCCAGCTGCTAAACTTGCAGAAATCGCTAATGAGACTTTGCTGTATCGTTGTACGTGAAAGATAGTTGGCTGAAGTATGTCAAGGATGTGCAGCCTGATATCAAACGATACTGGGACGAACAAGATTAGATAAACGAGATCAACAGCATACTGGCATGAGGATCGCATCATCATCCCACAGGGGATACAGGCAAAAATGCGGAGAAACTAAGGGTCACCATGGGGTCACTAAAACCCTATTTCGTGCAAATCAAGCGATACGGTGGCCTGGAATTGGTACTAACATTGCCCAGCCCATTCAGCAATATGAATTCTGCAGAGAAAAGCAACCAGCACAGAGAGCAGAACTCATTATAGCCCACACCCTTACCACAACAAGCATGGCAACGCATTGCTTTTGACCTTGCAGAGCTGAGAGGGAAGGTGTACTTGGTGATCGTTGACTACTTCTCGAGGTGGATTGAGATTCATCACCTTGTGAAACCAACAGCATTGGTAGTCATCAACTTAATTTGCATGATATGAGATCCCTGAAGTTGTTGCATCTGATAATGCCCCACATATTCAGGGACGGTTTCAGCGATTCGCAAAAGAATTTGGCTTCAACCACATTAATCGCAGGCAGGAAAAGCTGTCTATATTACCAAGAGTATCCTGTACCAACCAGATCCCATTCAAGCTCTCGAGACATACCGAGCAACCCCACTCTGAAGCCTGGATGTTAGTTCAGGAAGTCTGATGATGGGCAGAGAGTTACGCACTACCCTACCAATGGTGCCCAATAATCTCCTTCAGGGGCCACTAACTAGACAAAGCTGAAACAAGCAAATGCTGCATCCAATTCTAAGGAAGAAGTCTACTTCAACCAGAAGCACGGTGCCAAGTCATTGTACCAACTGGAGATTTTGCCCGGGTGAAGATCCGGACGAATGGAAAACTTGGTCCAGTCGGAGATGCAATGTCGGTACTGCTTACACAACCCTCTCCTACATCGTCAGAATGAATGGCACAGAGTATCGCACAACCAGCAGCTGCACTGGACTTCGTGGAAGACCCAGCCCAGCATAAGCCAGATTCTCAGTAACAGAGAGCGAGACAGTCTGAGCGAATAATTAAGAGAACCACCAGTATGGCAGAGGGATTACATCATGTATTAATCTCTGAACTGTCGCCACTGAGTTACTCATACTCAGCTGAACTAATTAATCTCAAATTATCTCACACTAGTCTCAGAATTGTACACTCAGTCTGATTTACGTCCAGAACTCTAGAAATCTTTATGAACCAAGGACATTGGACTCTTAAAGCTAATTTTGCCCTCAACAATTTCTGGACTTTAATGGCACTAAACACTCAGATCCAGTCCTGTGTATTAACCAGTTTATGTTATCAATGGGACTCAAAGGGACCCAAATGGAATGTAAACCCCACGACTGTCTCCCATTGAAACCAACTGGATCCCATTTGGCCCCATTGTATGTAATTCGAACCTACTGGGTGCCATTTGAATGACCAATGGGATTCAAATGGACTCAACTGGAATGTAAAGTCCACATGAACATCTCCCATTGAAACAAATGGGATCCCATCCGGTCCCACTGTATCCAGTTGGAACCCATTGGGTGACATTAAAATGACCAATT